AGGAGTGGCTGGTGGGTTTGAACCACCAGCCTTCTGGTTAGCAGTCAAGTGCCTTAGGCACTATGCTACCAGAGCTCCTAGCCAGATCTCATCATCAACACCTGTCTTTAACTTTGAAGGTTTCCCCACCCCTCAATGGTGGTGGTGGCGGGTATTTTTTTGTTTTTGCTTGTTTTGTTTCATTTCATAGATAATGGTTAAAAAAAGAGAGAGAGAAAGAGACTATTGCTAATATAAAATCCAAAACAAACCAAACCCACTGCCGTGGAGTCAGACCCGACTCATAGCAACCCCTCTTTGGGTTTCTGAGGCAGTATCACTATGGAAGTAGATTGCCCAACCTTCCTTCTGAGGAGTGGCTGATGGGTTTAAACCTCTAGCCTTCTGGTTAGCAGCCAAATGCCTTAGGCACTATGCTGTAAAATCACTACACTTGAAATCAAACATTTCAGGTGCCAGAAAATAAGTGGTTTTATGTTTATTTTAATTCTTTACCTATGTATTTCTAGCTTCAAAAGAATCTGTTTCCCCTTAAGATTTAAATGGTCTATGAAGACATGGTGAAGTTCTTAAATGAATACAACTTTTGTTTTCACAGATACAGGCTAGTTCCAAAGGTTTATTTTCCTGAACAAATTCATGACGTTGTACATGCCACGAAGTATTTCCTGCAGCCTGAAGTCTTACAAAAGTATTCAGTTGACCCAGGCAGAATTGGCATTTCTGGTGACAGTGCTGGTGGTAATTTGGCTGCAGCTCTGGGGCAACAGGTAACACTGTTTTCAGGTGATGGTGGTGGGAAGGGTGTATGATAATGTCCAACAAACCAACGCACTCTCCATCACAGGTGGGCTGGTCACTAGGCTGCCAAGTTATTAATAAGATTGTACTCAGAAATCTTTTTGAAGAGGATGGGTCATTGAAGAAGGGGTCATACCCGAGTCTTTGTAAAGGCCTTGATTAGAATCTGTATTAGAGGAGGGTTAACATTTGTAAGGATGTCCCTGCTCCTTAGGGGTTTGCATGGATCTACTATCGCCTGCTCCTTTTCTATCTTTTACTTACAAAACAGATATTTTTTGCTTGAACCCCAGTTACTGAATTGTTTCTTTGGAATTTGAGCCAAATTAAACAATTAAGATGTTGCTCAAAGTTTCTTTTTTTCCTTTTTTTTTTTCTTTTAGTATATATATAAAAATTAGATGGTTTATCCATCTTTACTGCTATATATATTACATTGCAAGTTAATCTGAATTTTACCTGATTAATTTCTTTAAAAACTGTGTCCAGCCCAATGCAAAGAACTTGTATCCTTTGGCAGCTCTGTAAATTCAAAGATAAGCATATTTTCTTCATTTTATGGACTAAATAATTTGTGAATAACATCTCTGTCTCCTCACCTCCAAGTTTCTTTTAATATACTCGAATAGCATCTGCCTTTTTATTTGTAATATACTTTGGTTTCTTTCTCCTTTGCTGTATTAAAGAACTCAGTTCTCCACTTCACTCTGGCAAGTTTGCTATCCACGTGTCCAAACGTGGTAAGAAGAAAATCCAGGTCCCTGTGGGGAGAGCGTCATGGCTTTAAAGCCAGACAGAACTGCAGATGAATCTAGGCCATGCTCTTTCAGAGCTAAGGGGCCTTGGGCAAGTCCCTCACCAATTTAATCCTCAGGAAAATGAAGATGATTTTGGCTTGCAGGGCTGTTGAGAGCACTTAATGAGATGATATGCATACAAATCTTGGCACATATTAATAATCATTTCCTCTTGCTTTTACAGAGCAGTTACATCTTACTTGGGGATGGGGTTCTAAGGTCTGGGTATGAAACAAATTGTAAGACTAAAGCTACCTTGAAGATCATGTCATGTACTGGCCTATGAAGCACAGTGACCTAGTTATCTTTAAGATGTTACATGAAAAATACATAGTTTTAGGCATTAGTGTTACAAAAGGAGATAATATATTCACACTGAAGGGATGCGGGGGCGGGGGTGGCAATGAGATCTGCTGAGGTGAGGGATTCACATTGCTATTGGAACTTGACCTGGAGGCTTGTGGTCAGTAGGTAAAATAGAGATGCACTGCCAGCACTATATAAATTCTCACTCCTACCAAGCATGCTCATCAGAAGGAACACCCTGAGATCTACGAAGGCTCCTTTGGAGTTCTATCATCTGCTCATTTAGCTTTTCCTTCCCCCATTCTCTGGAAGAGCGAGGCAAGATTTTTCTCCCTAGGAAGCTATTGCCTATAAAGGTGAATAATGTTCACCATATCCATCCATGATATCCAGCAGTGTGTGCTAAGTGCCATTAGATAAACACAAGTAATGTATTTATGAGGGATCAAAGACCTAAGAGATCATGTGTCCTAGAAGGGTTCACTCAAAACTATAAGTTGCAAGCATCATACCTTTCTTTATTAATGTCCAACAGCTTGATCTGGTGGAAAAGGAGATTATTTATTTATTATATATTACTAAATGCCATACTTAGTGAAAATTTAAGATGTATGCCCTTGCCTGATTCAAAGTAACACATTAAGCTACTGTATAGTGTGTGGTTTCTATAAAAAGAGCCATCCAAAATAGAATTATTTGTTTGCTTCCTCTTCTCCAGTTTAGTCAAGATGCCAACCTAAGAAACAAGTTCAAACTTCAAGCTTTGATTTATCCAGTTCTTCAAGCTTTAGATTTTAATACACCCTCTTATCAGCAGAATGAGAACACCCCAATCCTACCCCGCTATGTCATGGTGAAGTATTGGGTGGATTACTTCAAAGGCAGCTATGATTTTGTCCAGGCAATGATAGTTAACAATCACACTTCACTTGATGTGGAAGAGGCTGCTGCCCTTAGGGCCCATCTAAATTGGACATCCCTTTTGCCTACATCCATCACAAAGAACTATAAGCCTATCGTGCATACCACGGGCAATGCCAAGATCATTCAAGAGATCCCTCAGTTGCTTGATGCCCGTTCTGCCCCACTCATTGCAGACCAAGAAGTCCTCCAGCACCTCCCAAAGACCTATATTCTCACATGTGAATATGATGTCCTAAGAGACGATGGGATCATGTATGCAAAGCGTTTGGAGAATGCAGGCGTGGAAGTGACCCTGGACCACTTTGAGGATGGCTTCCATGGGTGCATGATTTTCACTAGCTGGCCTACCAACTTCTCAGTGGGAATCCGGACTAAGAATAGTTACATCAAGTGGCTGGATCAAAACCTGTAAAAGAGTACAACTTCTAGATGGCTTGAGCCCGTCTTCACCTGCGCCTGCTTTGGAAGGACATGCACTTTTTAGTCTACTAATTTTCCCATAACTTTTGACTTATGGCATCTCTATTCCCTGCAGAGTTTATGATAATGTGTTTGTTTTGTTTTTAATGAACTTGATTAATGTTAAGTGCAAAACATCTGAACCTGATTCCCAAAGTGGGCCAGTCTGTCTGTTATGGTTGTTTTAGCCAAATACCCATAGCTGCAGAAAGCAGGACCAGTTGCTGGGACTAGACTTTGGGTCCTGGCCTTGTTAGATGCTTTTTTTTTTTTTTTCCTCCGCAGAAGAAATTCTTTCACTGCTTCTCAGCCTTTTGGCTAAGCTCAAGTGCAGTAGAAATTCTTCCAGCTGTGAATGTTCTAGTGACCTTTAAAGACTTAAGAAAATATGGTCTCTTTTCAACTTGCTAGAATCTACTTTGGTTTCAGATCAGTGTTAAATGAGTGCACTTTAAGGGCAGGTCTAGGTCCAAGTGCCCTCCATTCTTTACATGGATAGCTTCATTTCTTATAGGAGTTTCAGCGAAGGCTTTCTAGCAAGAAGTTTCTCAGAGTATTTTATTCCTCTAGAGTGTTCATGTTAGGAGATAGCTATCCATAAGTTGGATTATAGTAATACTTGAAAGTGACTTTCAGCCACTATTATTAGAAAATATGAGGTTGCATGCACTGGATACTTGCACATAATTAAGTTTTTGTTGCTTTTTTGTAAGCTGTCTCCTTGGGGAGATATTTTGGGAACAAATTTATTTAGATTTAGGATAAATTTTTTACAGCAAATCCCCAGGTTAAGAACATCCAATTTATGGACAGCCTATATTTGCCCTTTTGTTAGGTAAATTTGCTCTAACTTTTTAACGAATGAACCAACTCCTACTGGCAACAAATTCTTCACCACAAGCACCTTTACTTGCTGCACATGCAGATACTAAATTATTGAATAGGCATTGACCATTTTCTTGCACTATAGCAAGGCTAAATAAGATACGTATGGACCTGTTCCAATTTACCTACAAATTCAAATTAAAGACACACTTGGGAACGGATCTTGTTCATCACCTGGGGACTGCCTGTAAAAACAGGCAAACGAAAAACTTGTGTTGTAATGAATACTTCTGACATAAATTACTAAGAGCAGTGTGTATATATTTGGCATAGTTAGAAAACAATGCATTTAATATAGTTTAAAATTATGAAAAATATCTTTAGAAGTACTAGTCTATTCTTGAAAACTCATCTTTTTCACCTCCGTGGCTTGAAAATGGGGCTATTTTGGAATATATAATGTTTATTTTTTTTAAGTTATTTAATGTCAATATATGCAGCTAGACATAGGATTTTTCTGAATGTCTGAAGTGAATATTAAAAGTAATGGTATTTTTGAAAAATGACCTTAGAGTTTAAAAAACTATCTTAGAGTTATATCCACATGTAATTTTATGGGAAGAGATAAAATAGCTATTAATACTGATAAACATGAAGCCTAAATATTTTGATGTTTATATGCATATATAAATTAAAATAATTAGTAACTATGAGTACATCTGGTAAAGTCATCTAAGTTTATAGTTCAGGAGCTCTGGTGGAGTAGTGACTAAGGCATATGACTGCTACCCAGAAGGCTGGCAGTTCTAACCCACCAGCCACTTCTCAAAAGGAAGACTGGGCAATCTACTTCCATAGAGATACCACCTCAGAAACCCTGGGAGGGGTCGCTATGAGTCCGAATTGACTTGACAGCAGTGAGGTCTTTTTTTTTAGTTAGTTGAGCTTAGGCAAGACCCAGTCTGCTTGTATCTGTTCTCTATGGTCAGGGGACACAAGCTCATATTCTTGGGTAAAGAGCATACATTGGCACCTGGTGCCTGCACCCCTCGTTTCTTCTTCCAGCAGGGTCAAGAAGTTCCAACAGCCAAGTTCAACTTCATGTAAAGCCTTCACTGCCAGTGGAAAAATCTTTGGCATAGCAAAAAACTCAAATTTGGGTTTGGTAGCTGTGCCTCTTCCCTTCTTCCTGCCACCCTTACTTCTGTGCCCAATCCATGCTCCTTTTAGGGACTGCAGAGAGCAGCATTATAGTTCAATAACAGTGCATTAGTGGAGAGAGAGTAGAGCCATTCATTTCTCTCCTTTGAAGGATGGGTATTTCCCCACTTCCTGCAGTGGAATAACAAATGAAAATTTTCATACTTGGTTTTCTTTTATTATATGCACTAATAGCATTTAATATACAAAACAGAAATGAATGCAATAAGGTATGTATGTATGTGTGCATGTGTGTGTATAAAAATAATCATCCAAGCTAACTTGCCAAGGTATTTGGGTAACTGCCCATTTCTGAGCCTTTTCTTCCTTTCATCTAAAATTAGAGAGTCAGATTACTTCATCTATAAGCTCTTCCCCAACCATCAATTCCAACCATTTGGAATGGGCATGTTGTACCAGCCCCTGCTACCGCAGTGGTCTTTTTGTAGGCTGTTATTCCGTAGATACACACACATATACACACACACATGCATCAGCAAGGAATTTTCTTTCTAGAAAATTGGGATTTCGGTTCTTACTCTATGGAAGCAATTCTCTTCATATAATACTGTTCTTTGTGACGTGATGTGAAGGAACCAAAGTTTAGGCCTTATTTTGAGGTCATCTACCTCTAAGAAAGCAGAGAAAATAATAAATGCACAAAGTTCCTTAAAATGACATTTTCCCCCCAGAATTGTGAGTCACACCTTGTGTACTTATGCTATGAATCTCTAAATGGCTCTCTTGAACACAGGGAGTGAAGAGAAAAGGGGGGGTGGGTGGTTAACCACTGTTTCTGCTGAAATACTTGAGTTTCATTAGAGATTTAAATCATGTGATTAATTTGTGAGATTTAATTATGTGACTAATTTGCCTAATAACCTACAGTGTCTCCCACTTCAAACCTTGCTAAAATGAAATTCTGCTTAGGATAATGACAACTGGAAATCATGATACACGAAAATCACTGGATATAAGTGAGCCTCTAGCCACAGCAATGGACTCAAACATACCAATGATCATGGAGATGGCACAGAACTGGGCAAAATTTCATTCTGTTAGACATAAGGTCACCAGGAGTCTGAGCCAACTCAACAGCATCTAACAACAACAACAACAACACAATAAACCAAGCAAAAAGTCAAGTGCTAAGAACTCCTATGAGAATCCTACAGAGTTTATATTAAAGATACTTGGTTTGGGGTGAATTTATTATTCTTTTAGCGTTTATTTGATTATAAGAAATTTTATGCTCTGCAGTTTTTTGTGGTTTGTTTTTTTTTTTTTTAGTGTTATGGCTTTGTTTTGTTTTCTTATTTTATGAAAAAGCTGATAATCTTTATTGTAATCATTGTTGTCTGTGAAATATGAATGCAAATTTATGAAGAAAAAACCTTGAAGTTAAGTGCTGCAAACTACAGTGAAGTGTGAATTAGTTTCAATGTTTTAGCATTTACTTGTGAAGAATTTAAGGCTATTACATAATTATCTTCGGGGATATAATGTTTTATGCATGACCTTTTAACTTTTGACTTTTTGCTTATTTCCCACTACAAAGGGGAAGGCAGATTTTATGAAGTATTTTAGTAGAAAATATATTTTATAAAATGAAAGTCCAGTATGGAAAACCCAGCATTTACCTGTTTTGAATCATGTTTGGAAATAAAATGGCTCCATCTGAGAATGTGACACTTTCACTTCCCTGCGTCTCATTTTCTGGTTCACATCTAAGACAGTGCATGCTCTCATTTTCTCTGTATCCCAGAGTAGCAGCACAATCCTGCCCAAATCTTCTGCTCACTGGAGGGCCCCAGCTGCCTTACCACTGAAAGGGGGTTCAGTGGCCTCCCTGATAACATTTATTTCATGTCTGGATACAGTGTGTGCTGCCTGTATCAGAGAAACCAGCCTTAGACTAGCTAAAATATTCATAAAAGCCAGTCAGTTCCTAAGACTGGCATCTTCAAAACAAGCCTTGTAACTACACATTTTAAGAAAGTGTATCTTAGTCAAGGTGCTCTAGAGAAAAAGAAAAAAAACTAGGGAGAGATACACACATACACACAAATATAGAGAGAGTGATTTATTTTAAGGAATTGGCTTACACAGCTGTGTGGGGCTGGCAACTCTAAGATCTATAGGTAAGTACAGCTAGAGATTCCTGCAGTTTCCTGTCTAAATCTGTATGTTAGGTGATAGAAAGTATGAAAAAGTTGTGACAAAATGTCTGTAGTCTGAAGCTGAATACACCCTTGGAAAACTCCCTTTTTGCTCTTAAGACTTTCAACTGATTGGATAAGGCCCACCATATTATGGAGGGGCTTTACTTAAGACCAGCTGATTTAATCACACATAACTACTTCTTAATAGAGTTTAGTGTTTGATCTAACAACTGAGCACTGTAGCCTAGTCTAGTTGAATCATAAAACTGCCCATCACAATGGGCAATCATAATCCAAATGTATTTAAGCTTGAACCAGTTTGGCCAAATAAATGACAGTATCCTTAGAGGAAATTTCTCACAATGACACTGTCATCTCATGCAAATCTAATCATTCCACACTGGAGTTTATTATGCATAGTTTATATCAGAATCCTGGGAATTTACAAAACTTATGTTCAAAGTGAATTTTTTGTATTGGTTGTAAATTGTCATATAAAAAACAAAAAACATTGCCATCCAGTTAAAGCTGACTCATGGCCACCCCATGTATGTTAGAGTAGAACTACACTCCATAGGCTTTTCGATGGCTGACTTTTCAAAAGCAGATCACCAGGCCTTTCTTCCAAGGTGCCTCTGGGTGGACTTGAACTTCCAGCCTTTTGTTGGGTATTCCCATTCAATCATACTTACTTTTATGTTCTCCCACAAAACCTATGGTGTATGGGAATATTTTGCTGGTAGGATCCTCTAACTGTTCTAAAAATTCTTCGTTAGGGCATTACTAAAAATGAGTTTTAGTAAGGTTTTTTTTTGTGATTTTCCTTCTCTTTTTACTCTTCATGTTTTTATGGTATGTCATATTTTCTAATGGGCCCCCTAATAAAACATCTGGAAGATACTGATATCAGTACCAAATTCCCCAAATCTCAAAGACAGGAAATGTAAATATCATCTCTGATGAGCATGCTA